TGTAAATGTGTGTGTGTGTGTGTGTGAATGTGTGTGTGTGTGTGTGTAATGTGTGTGTGTGTGTTTGTGTGTGTGTGTGTTTGTGTGTGTGTGTGCGCGTGTGTTCGTGTGTGTGTGTGTGTGCTTGGGGTGTGCACGGGTGTTACATGTATGTATGTACGTATGTATGTATGTCTGGATTGATTTATGTATGTATGTGTGTGTATATGTATGCATGTGTGTGTAGAGCATTGAGCCTCTACTTGATGCCGAGGCAGTGGCCCAGCTTCTCTCGAAAACCGAGCAGCAGTGGGGCCAGGAGATCAGGCCAGTACCGGGCAAAAAGAGTACAATAATCGTTATATTACGCATCAAGAACTACCACAAAACGCATTATCACCAAAAGTGCTCATGATCTCAACAATGCAGAAATTATTACTACCAAAATAATGCCACTACGAAACACTAACCACAATATCAAAAAGCTGAAAACACATATACATCGTATACGCAGCTAAATAAATAAATAAAAAAATAAATAAACGAATAAATAAATACATAAATAAATAAATAAATAAATAAATAAATATATATATATATATATATATATGCGCTGCGTAGTATCCCCCCGGCACTTCTGCACTGCGGTACTATTGTGGAACCAGCAACTGGTTGTTTTGAAACCCACCGACAGTTTATCAACCCAGGCACGGTTTATAAACCCTTGATATCCTCGAATCTGGACCAGAGCATATTAACCACAGTGAATTCACATGGTTTTGTGTCCAAGTCGGAAGCAACTTAAAATATGCAGTACAGTATCTATGTCACTATGTACGGTTGTGGATGTTTCCCACACTGCTCGTTCCGGTACATACCAATCCATTCAGAATGCTGACCAGGTGCGAAACTCTGTTACAATGTGCTAAAATCCATACCTTGCAGCCGTCGGTACATTTTCGTAGTTCAAGCCTGTGTGACTGCTCTCTAAACTCCAAACGCTAAATTCTTGTAGTTCCAATTTACTAGCAAATGCGGCTTTAGTCTACAGTCTGATTCAGACATGCCCCGCAGGCGAACTAGGTGATTCAATTAAGAGTTTTCAACATTTGTAATGCTTCAATCATGTTGGAGTGTCCGTTTTTCTAAGCATTGCTAGGGAGTTTTGGCTACATGCAGCTCTCATTAACATATCCCTGTGTCCGTAAGCGACTGCTTTTAAACGCTGGTATATCAGGCAAATGCGGGCATTTGGGAGTTGCATTCCTTAATGCTGTACAATGACAGCCCCATACTAAATCTATAAACTTGCATGCAATACGCTTAGCAATGTTGTACAATGTTTCCCCGGTGGGACAACATACATACAGTGTCGCTTCTTAGGCTTGACACTGTTTCTATAGTATAGACTGAGCGACGAAACCTTTGATTCTTGTATCATTATACAGACGCCAGCACGTAGAGCCACTACGAACCATAAAGCCGCATGTAGCTTGTCCGTTTTGTGAGAGAATAAGCAGTCTGTAAGATGCAACATACTGCTCGTCCTTACAATGGGTTCGTATCAGCCTGCTCTCGTGCATTGTACTTGTATGTCGATTTTGCTAGTCCCCGCCCTGCTGCATCTATGTTTGTGTTCTTGTGAACATCTACGCCCTTTTAGAACCCTTTGTGCCAGTCCAGAACGTGATTCCTCGTGTTAGAAGTGGTGAAACACACTGCATCGCTCCTCCCGAAAGAGAGTTCATCCCCATGTATTGGAAACAGCGCTGCTAGGAATTTTCTACGTACCAAGCGAGGAAACCTAACAGTTTGTTAGCTTCAAATTTTGCTTGCTCACCACACATATTTTTATGAGGTTTGTTTGTCTCATCGAAGCCTGCCTCCTCGGAATGATGTTTGGACATAACGTTGCAACCAATTCGTCTATGTACACCACGTGATGATACTCAACCAAATTGTAAACAAAAATTCTGTTTTCCCTTACAATTAGATCTTGTCAGTCGCATCTCACTTTTCTGCGTAGCTTGATATTCCAATGTTGACAACGTCTACCGAGCTAGTGTAATCCCGATACAAGCCACATCATCTTCTACAGTATGATTTCTAGATGAATGACACGTACGTCCTAATGTGTATATAGATTGTCTTCTCTCTTGTAAACTCCATGTACTGGAACGGTCAGATGCAGCATGGCCTCTCCACAAAAGTCGCGGGAAGACGCATATGGTCCCGGGATTATGCGAAGTCTGACAAAAAACACTGCAACATTACTCAATAAACCGAATAAATACCGGATACCTAGGACCATCTATTCTCCTAGTCCTTGCTTAGCTTCATTCCAGATTCGGTCTTCCTGAAACACCTAAACAATCGAAATATTGCATTTTGGTGTTGATGAAGTACTGATGAAATAGATTTCTCGCGTATGGTTTATTGTGCATCGGAAACCTCCCAAAGTTCATAAACCACAACACTGGTTTATGAAACCAGGTCTTTCGAACCTTGAAACAGTCAGTTTACCAATTTGACGGTTCGCGCCCGAAACCATCAAACCAGCAGACAATTTTCGGAATTGCACCAGCCGGTTTGATCCTTCAAGTCCTTTGGTACCCAAACCAGTTTTCATGTCCCTCGTGCACCACTTCACCAATTGCCTCGATCTTATAAGGTGCGGAGGACTTACCATATGGGGTGGTTGCGCACCCGAAACCATTTCACCCAGTAATTTGGCCCTATGTCTAACCCATGAACCATTTCACCAATTCGTTTCGCCCGAACCCATAAACTATTCACCATTTCACCAATGAGTTGGGCCAGTTCACCATTTCACCAATTGGTTTGGCCCTAACCCATAAACCATTTCACCGATTAGCTGGGCCCGAACCCACAAACCATTTCACCATTTCACCAATTGGTTTGGCCCTAACTCATAAACCATTTCACCTTTTCACCAATTGCTTTGGCTCTAATCCCAGAAACCATTTCACCAGTTCACCAATTGGTTCGGCTCTAAGCCATAAACCATTTCACCATTTCACCAATCAGTTTGGCCCTATGAAAGTAAGGAGGTCTGGCCATATGCGGGAGTGAATGGTGAAATGGTGAACTGGCCTGGCCATATGGGGGAAATGAATGGTGAAATGGTTTATGGGTTGGGGCCAAACTAATTCGTGAAATGGCGATTTGGTTTATGGGTTGGGGCCCAGCTAATTGGTGAAATGGTTTATGGGTTAGGGCCAAACCAATTGGTGAAATGGTGAACTGGCCCAACTCATTGGTGAAATGGTGAATGATTTATGGGTTCGGGCCCAGCTAATTGGTGAAATGGTGAACTGGTTGAGGGGTTTTGCGGGACAGCGAGGAAATCCAGGGGGGGTGATATAACATTACCCACATATATAAATATATACACACACATCATATTGACAGACTGGTCGACTGTTGCTCAGCGGGGCCCATGCACGCGACTGGCAAGAGCAAGAGACGAGCAACATGTTATGACATGTTGTAAAACACTTGTATAATCTAGCAATAGTTTGTTTTTAAGTGTATATACATATTTATATACATGTTACTCTCTTGTGTCTTGTGTTGTCGGACTATTTCGAGGCCAGGTACGGTACAAGTAAGGCGCTGCGGCTAGCAACAGCTTGCAACGGTCTTGCATGCGTTTGCACATCGTCTGTCCTGCTTTTATTGTCGTGGATGGCACCTGGACAGGACGCTGAAGCAGGACTGTGCAGCCAAGCTTACGCCATTGCAATATGCTCCGGACCACCTGTTACCAAAGATGCCTGCACGAAGGATCTGAAAGTCGCTGCTCGCTGCTTGTGCACTGCATTGCTGTTTCGGCTTACAGACATCTAAGCCAGGCCTTCGTACAGACTCTCGGTCAACTTGCCGAAGGAGATCAACATAGTCTTAGTACTGACTCACAAAGACTATGCCTCTTGAGATGAACACCACCCTAAACCCTAACCCCCTAAACCCTGAACCGCTTTGACTGAGAGTCTGTGCAACATGTCTTGCTGCGCAAGACTGTAGACTTCCAGAGGGGCAGTTTCTCTGGAGCTGCCTTCAAACTTGGTAGCGCACGTGAATGACAAGGCCGTGCTTACAATGGGCGTCTTGGCTAAACAAAACACAGGAAAACTTGGGCATGTAAGCACCACTGAGGCAGCCCAGGAACTCTTATGTTTTCTTGCGTTTCAGCTTAGGCCCTGATCGGCCTGTGTTGGCTCCTTGCGACAGGCCCCCTCTCAATTGCGTGGCATGCAGGTCCATTTGTGTGAGCTCCTAGTGGCTGCCAGAGGCTTTGCAAGCAAGAACTCGTTTTCTGTGCGGCGATCTTGCGTGAGAGGCTTCACGGATGGCGGAAACGATTCCTGGCTGCATTCATCGGCAGACACTGCTCGTGCTTCCCCTAGTCGCACCGGTTTGTCTCAAGGACAGCGGCCCCTGTACTGGAAGCACCCACCAACACGATAGAAGCTCCGCGCCATATCTTTGGTCATCATCGGTTGTTGGGCATGGAGCCTGCGACAGGCTTTGAGGATCAATACTCGCTAGACAGGCTTCAGTCACAGCCTCGTCCTAGCAATCGGGCACGTTGTTAAACGGTTCATTGATCTCAAACGCGATGTGCGAACGAAATACTGCCAGCCATGGATTCCGGTTAGTACCTCGGAATCTCCAGCAACGAGCACCCACATTCCACGCCCCATGGCCCTCATACAAGCGGCATGCGGGTAGCATCTCAAAAGCTGCTCCCATGGTCCTCAATGCCATTACGGTTTAAGAAAGAGGTGATACCCCAATACCCTATAGTACCCTATAATGCCCGATAGTACCCCATAATACCTTGTGTTGCGAAAGGAGAAGTCGGGGCAAGGAAGGTAAGCACGAATGCATGCACGAATGCATCCGTGATGCTGATCTGCACAGTCTACGTTTCACAGCAGGTACAGTGAAATGGTTCGTTGATGTATGTTGATGCTTGGTGGTTCTCAAGTGAGAGCATGAACGAGGTGTCCCAAGAAGGTCATCATCCTTTGATGCGATCCTTGTCAGCACCATCACACCATCACGTAGATAGGCAGCTGCATCCAGGGAATGTGCTGCAAGGATCCAAGCATCGTGGAAATAGAGGAGTTCTACTTCCTGTCGACGCACAGGGCCACACTGGTGTTCCTTGGCTAAACGACCCATTCAAGAGTCAACGGTGAGACGGCGACGCTTGCTGACATTGTTCTTGAGATTCTTGGTCTTAGAAAGATGTAAGAAATACGGTTCGAACTGCGAATTTATGCTCCTGAGCCTGCTCTTCCTCGCTGTAGTCGTTTTAGGCGTAGGATGGCCACGGGGCTTTCGGTCAACACAGCATCATTATTGTCATTTGTATTGTGATGGGGTTTGTGACGCGCCGCCTCGTAAGTCGTGCTGTCGAGCGCAAAGTTCCATTTAGATGGGCGACGGGCAGACTGACCACCCGCGTGAGCCAGCTTCTATTGAAATGGGGGTTTCAGAAAATTAGGGTACCTTATTTTGGGGTCCTTATAATAGGGATCCTATTATTTAGGGTACTATATTAGGGTCCCCTATGTTCGGAAACCCCCAAATGAGTTGATGGGGAACGAGTACAGACAGAGTACGTCTGCTCCGTGTTGTTCCTTTTCAGGTCTCTAAACCCTAAGCCTAAACCCTAAGCCTAAACCCTAACCCCTAAACCCTAACCAAGCAAAACAAGCAATCTTGGCCATATGAAAGTCCCAGCTGGGCAAAGCATCGACAAGGAAACTACGGGTTAAGAGAACAGCCGGAGGCCTCATTGATGCTCTGGTAGTGTGGTGTACTTACTGTCTACGTTACGTGTGTATACAAACAATATGGATGTGTAGGTAAATATATATATATATATGCATATTTACGTGCGCGTGCACTAACTCTGCATCGCATGAATCATCCAAGGCTCCTGACTTTCGCAATACTGCCGACGACATTGCACGAATGGATCCAGCCAAGTGCAACATTTTTACTTTATGGGAGAAGCCGCAGCCGGGCCGAACAGTTGGCGACAGTGAGATACACGGCAGTTTTGCCACCTTTGACTGAAGACATCTGAAGACCATGGCCCAATGCGTTGGTATTAACGTGGGCTCAGATCTGATGAAGCAGCCTTCCCATCCGAGGAGCTCGCTGTCAGAGCAGCCCTTATTTCAGCGATTAGCCACACAGTTGCATTCAAACTGCAGAAGCTCCCTGTGCATGTCTACGCCGGGCTTCATCCAGACGGAGAGAAAAGTCTAGATCAAATGCGCATGATGCTTCGGCATGTTATAAGATTTCGGGAAAAACATCCTGTGCTGCAGCAGTGGTCCATCTGGTCCTGACCTCAACTCGTCTTCAGGTCATCGAAGCATGGCGCCGGCACTCCCATGATCTGTGCAACGACCCGTTCCTCATCACCGATGACAATGTGCGGCAAGTCATTCCAGACATCCCCGAGGACTAGGGTTTGGGGTTTAGGGTTTAGGGTTTAGGGTTTAGGGTTTAGGGGTTTAGGGTTTAGGGTTTGGGGTTTAGGGTTTAGGGTTTAGGACTCCATGGATCTTAGTAAGGAAGGGGGGAATGGATACCTATGATAGGTCCCCTACAGTAGTCCCCCTAAGCCCTAAAACCTAAACCACATAACCCTATGACCCCAGACCCTAGAACCCTTTTACCCAGAACCCGAAAACCCCTAAACCCTAAACCCACAAGGAAAGAGCATGTTTTTCCCCACCCCTTTCTGTCGCTCCTCTGGGTCCCTTGGGGCTTCCCCAACCCTGAAATCTCGACCTGATTCTGTAATGTGATATGGGTAGTTCTCTAAATTCGGGCCCCTTCTGAGGTCCTTTTTACAAGGGTGCCGTACTATATTGGGGACCCCAAAGGTTCCCTAATTTACGAAACTACCCATATTACAGTACACTGTATTGAAGTGGCATTGCACTATGTTACACTGTAGTATCGTGCAGTAGGTTACACTACACCACGTACAACATCTTGCGAAGCCCCAGTTCAAATACCAAGCGATAATTCAGATGCCTGCTCAATGGCACCAAGGCAGTTTGGGGAACAGCCTTTCCCAAGTCCGTTCCCAGGTTGCGACGTGTTAACATTCGCTAGCACCGGCGGCGAAGCCACGTAAAAACCTGAGGCGAGTGAAGCCTTGCAGGTTCGGCTGTCCGGATGCTGCTCATTTACGCTGATTGCCACCAATCGCACCAGAAAGGCGATGAAACGGGAGGGAGGCAAGAAAGGGGAGGAGGAAGCAGGAGAGGCAGCAAGCGGGAGGTGGCAGGGGAGGAGCGATAGGAGAAGGGTGGATGTGGGGAGAAAGGGGGGGACGGGGGTCGAAGTTGCACTCCAAAAGCAGGTGTCAGTGGACTCTTGGGCTGCAGGGAGGAGGACTAGGTAGTGCATATGAACTGGCGGATTCATGTTGCTTGTGTGTGTTTCACTGTTTGGGATGCCCCAAAACGCGGCCTCGACGGATACTACGTGTGACTGCAGAGTTGCTTCAATTCACTTTGATAGCGGTGCCTGTGGGCGGGCGAGGAGTACTTCAAGTTGCCATACCCTGCCGCGAAGTCGGACTTCATTCGATATGCAGCGCCTTGGCGAAGTTCCAGTCGACTCTGCTTTCATGATGGGTCCATTAACGACACCAGTCGTTGTGTTTGGGCCAGTCCGAATCATTGCGAGTTGCATGTCTGAGGTTCTGTACCACAACGGCGGCATTTATGTTGATTTCGACATGTCGCTTGGCAACCACAGAAGTCTGCAAGTGCAGTTCATACGCTAAACCGCAGACCGTCATACAGCATGTTCTGCAGCACACCGTGGACAGAGAAGAACACCCTCGCCCCATTCGCGTGCCGAATCCATCCGAGGAATGTCGAAACATGCTCAGGGGCGCAGCATTTAGGCTTGAGGGTTTAGGTTCTAACTCCCCCCCTTCACATTAAAACACAAATGAGTCGCAGTCCCCCTTTACATTGGCCATACAGAACCAAACGATGACCTAGGTAGAATATATAAGATTTCAGTAGATGGGAGATAAGACCCGAGTCCTTATGAACCTATCCTCTCCCCTTACTGTACACATACCCCAAACTACAGTAGTTACAGAACCCTAAACCCTAAACCCTAAGCCCAACATACCCCAAATTACAGACCTGTGAGCTTCCGCATCAGGATGGGCTGCGGGAGAATGTTCACAGATAGGTGGGGCTTTCAGAAAACTAGGTTACCTTATTTGGGGATCCCTGTAATATCCTATAGTAAGGATCCGGTTATTTGGGGTTCTATGTTAGTGTCCGGAATGCCCCATTTTCTGAAACTCCCATTTTGCTCCCAAAGGAAGCATTGGTAGCTTAAAATCGGAGTGCTTCCGCAGGCTTGTAGTTCACGAGCCAAATTGGCAACGGTTGAGCTCGAAAAGGAACTCGCACACGGCTAATAAGGAGGCGCAAGTCACCAAGAACATGAAATTATGCTTGCATCTGTTTTCCACCCGAGTTCTGCTGATGTAAGCTTGAAACACCCTTGCGCATTTGATGCAGTGCCCGACAACTCTATATTGCGCCGGGAGTGTTTGATGAACATGTTAGGGTTTAAGGGTTTAGGGGTTTAGGGTTTAGGGTTATGGTCAGCGTTCACGATCTTGGATGTGCTTCACATCGTCTGTTAGCAGTCCCTGCGTGTCCTCTTCGATTGGTGTGACCCCGGTCCGTTGGGCTTCACTAGAAGTGGTCATGTGCGCCTTTTGGGTGTTGGCCAAACCTCGCTCCAGACGGTCAGCCGAAGGCTTCTCGCATGTGTAGTGCCGCATCCATCAGGCAAAACGTATCCACTTCTGCTCGCTAGACTTGCAGCCCTGCTCACTCACAGAGCACTCGTAAAGTCCCAGATAAGATGTGCTTGCCTGAGACTCCCTGGAGCAAGTTCTGTCCGCATACATTTCGGCCGCACCTGCGCGTATATCAAGCTTGCAATGACCACGCTGCAGAGAGGACAACGAAAGCACGCTGGTTCCTTCTACTTGCACATGCAATTGCACATTCACACACAGATGGCTCCAACATGTAGCTTCTGGCCTCGACTGTTGTAGTTTGCGTAAACCGAGGCTTACCGTGCGAGACATCGACGAAATTGCCTGGGACTCGTCGGTATTTTGTGGCCTAGGATCCAACCAGGCATGGGCACGTGAGCTTGAGCGCTTCATGTCGAGGTGGAGAAAGTTCAGCGACTGGACTTGGTGTCTTACAGTGACGGCTACGGCCCCGAGCATGAGTCTTGCGGAGGACGGGTTCACGGGCTTTGGATCACAGTCTCACCATAAAGCACTAAACCGTAAACCCTAGTGTCAGAGGTTTTGTTATGCAGCTTTTCGCAGCTGCGGGTCTCTCCACTTCCTGCATCCGTCTCTCATACGTACCGTATCTGTTAGTGGTTGGGTGGAAAGCAAGTTATGAGGTTTATGCTGCTCATTGTGACCTGGCACATGGCCACCGTCACACGAGTCTTGCCATTTTTATCAGAACCTGGGCGCCCAAGCGTTTATTGAGTCATGTTGCCTGTTTTCATGTTCCTCTACGTTTCTCTGTTAGCTGCATTGTTGGTTTCTCGCGCACACTCATAGCCGTCTTTGAGAAAAGCACAAGCTTTGTGCATTTGCGTGGCTGACGTCGAGGCTCGGCGAATGCATTGGTTCGTCCAGTCGCTTCTCACTCACACTCATGGTCGTCTTTGAGCGTATCTTTGCGCGAATGTGTGGATGCCGTCGAGGCTAAGCGAATGTCTGCGAAATTCAAGGCAGAAGCACATAGGTTTCCTTCACTCAGCCGTAGCTCGCAGCTAACTACAGTGTATACATATACATATGTATATATATACATATATATATATATACATATATGCTACCCCCCCCCTC